CCCATTCTAAAAAATGTTAATAAAAAATCCTTTAAAAATGTAATTAAATACTTTTTGAATGGTATGACAAAGAATTTAAGGATACCTATTAAATTAGTCGGGATTGTTTCAGTGTCAAATAGAGGTTGTTATCATTAGCCATGGACTAAAAAAAAATGAACATTAATTTCAAGGATGAAAAACAAAGAAAATATTTTGCAAGGACCTAAAACAAAGTGACCTGTATTTGCAGGGACTAAAAACATATTTAAACCAATAAAAAATGGATAAACACAAATAATGTCTAACTATTTTTAAATTATTCCGCTAAGATTATCTCATTTTACCTTTTTGGAAAGTCTCACTAATATTGTCTCATACTCCCCTCGTCCCTGAAAATACTTCCAACTTTCTCTTTTCGTTCGTTCCAAAAAGAATTTCATTTTCCCCTTTTAGCAAAGAATTTGTGGTTCACAGCATTTCTCTCTCTTCTGCACAACTCTCCACCACACAATTCTTACTTTCTAATCCGCGTGCCACTTTATTTTGGAAGTAAATTCAGGGACGGAGGTAGTATCAAATTTGGTAAAGTTTGTGTAATTCTAAATCATTCTTACTTTATTCTTACTTTATCAATTTAATATCAACCACACAAACTCATTTTTCTTAATAACCGTGCCACCTTCTCATGTCCCAATCTTAGTGGGACGGAGGTAGTACATCTTAATTAATATTAGACAAATAATTCCCAATTTCTATTTTTTCTCTCATTTTCATATTTAAAATAAGATACAATAGTTATCACAATCAGTTAGAACTAATTCAAAAGTGAATTGTGAAATTCAATATTTCGAAATTTTAACTAACATTAGCATAATTTTAAAAAGTTACTGTAATAATCTAAATATTAAATATTGTTTACAGCAAATACTTTGTCAACTTTTGCTTTCAAGAGTGCAATAAAAGTGGTGATCTTACATTTTTAGTGTTATATAACATGGTCAGCAAAATATTTTCACAATTAATAAATCAGGATAGGAAAAAACTTGAACACCTTATAGAAATAAATGTGCTCTTTGTCCTTCTACTATCTTCTTATGCTATGATTTACTTAAGATTTTGCAAAGGATCCCACCTACGGTGGGGTAAGGAGGAGTCAAATGTACGCAGTCTTACCCCTGTACGAAAGCACAGAGAGACTTTTTTCGGATGACCGATAGTGAAAAACGCGTCCAAATTTGCATGAACTGACTATTGCTTCATAACAAAGAAACGCAGACAGTTTAGTGAGCTATTTTGCTTTATTCCATCATATTCTCAAGCCAAAAAATAATGAATCTTTGGCTCCATTGCAAATGATGGATTAGTAATAAGATTTTAAAAAAAATATTACTTCACATCAATTCTTTTGTTTTCCATGGTAAAAAGTAAAAAAAGACACCTATGTTTATTTGTTCCTTATCTTAGCTTCAACTCTTCAAGTACTCCTCAAAATTCTTGAAACTTCAATTATTTTGTGTTATCAAAAATGTAGATGATATGGAGTACACATTGCAGTGTTGCGTGACTACTGTCCCATATACTCTTCAGTCTTCAAGCAGTACTCCTCATGCTAACGCTTTTATGTTGAAGATATAGAACATGACATATTACAAAGGCTTTCCTCAAAGAAAGTAATTGTTGAAAAAACATGTTTGTTGCTCAAGTAAACAACAGCTCAAATGGGTCTTCTGGGGATATTCTATATACAAAAGAAATGATTCAATGTGGAACGATTCACATCCAAATCTGATTGGGTCTCAAAACCCTTGGCCCCTACCAAGTTCAACTGGTGTTCGATGTTGAACGATTCACTTCCAAATATGAATGATAGGACCGGTCCTGACCATTTCTGGGCCTATGGGCGGTACACTATTCTGGGCCTATGACCGTAAACTTATTTGAAATAAGAATTAAAATAAAAATATCCAATGAAGTTCATAAAATAAAGTAAAAAATCACTTTATTATTATTATTATTTAAGTTACATATTTGGGCAAAAGTAAAAACACAAGTATCGGATAAAAAGAAAAAACATCAGTAAAAAACATTTCTCGTAGAACAATATGAAGCAAATAATCAATAATCGCTTCATAGGAGACCTTCTTTCTATTAATACATGACAAACAATAAAATTGCCACATATAACAACACTAAACTTTTTTTTGAAAGGAAATATGAAAAAAATATCACTACATGTAGAATTCATAAGTTGAGAATGATTTATTGACCGTTGATGGGAGTCTAAAGTTTGAAATCTCGAAAGAATGAAGGTTTTCAAAGAGACAAAATGTATGGCCGCCAAGAACACTCGCGCAAGAAGACTGCCAATTTGACGTCCTCTAAACTACTATTAGGAACTCAGATATAGTTTATTGAAATTTGGAAACAAATAAATAATTGGGATGAGATTTGAGAGAGATGGGCTCTAAAATAATTATATAAATTTGTTATGTTATAATTAAATGAATAAAAAGCCTTAAAGGCTAATGAGATGTAAAGACTACAACCGATCCTACTTAAAAGTAATGTATATATTCTTTTTTTGATGGAGCAACAATTGTATTGCTTTTAAAAACTACAACTGATCCTACATAATATTAATGTATACATTCTTTTTTAAACTTGGTTCTGTTTAAAACTTTTTATTTACATTTTAAATTTTCAAATTGTCAACAAAATTAAACATTAGGAATTAACTGACCTTAAGAATTAAAAAAAGAAGCCTACTAACACTATACATAAAGAAAAAATTTGGGCCTCTTTTTTCTTCTGTTTTTTTCCTGGCCTAGGGTGGTCGCCCCTTCCCCAGAACCGGCCCTCATGAATGAATATGTAATGCATAACTATGCCAGTTTTATTGTGTCACCCCGTTCTTACAAATGTATATCATATGTGCATTGCAGTTTATACGGTAAAATGTATAGTTGATTTAACGTTTGTGATATGTGGCCACGAAGAAATCTACAAAAGTTGGAAAATAATAAATGGTGACAACTCCGGTACTCATTTAAAAAATGGGGTATCATACCTACCATGCATTTGATTGGTCCAAATCATTAAATCCCTTTTAATTTAGATTTAAATAATTCAACTGCATGATTCTAATTGGTCCATGTGGACAAAGGTACGGTACCTTATGGGTACTATAGAATCTACCAATAATAATCTACGAGGTCTTCAATAACTTTTAGTATGTGAACTTTTTAAATATCTAATATTAATCTTTGATTTTTGCATTATTCACTAGTTATTTATTATTGTATTAATAATTTATTTTTTGAAAAAAAAAATGTTAAATTTGTCCTATTGTAAATTTGAGAGAGTTAAATATATTAATGGTCAAAGTTGTGCATCGACAAACGTGAAAAGTTGACTATTGCATATACTTCCTCCGTTCCGTTGGAATGTTCCCGCTTTCCTTTTTTGGATGTCCCAAAAAGAAGTTCCCATTTCCCTAAATGGAAAGTTATCCTACATCAAAACAGTGTCAAACAGTGCAAAACAGTGCCAAACAGTGTCAAAACAATAAAATTTACCCTCTGGTAAGTTTATTTCCTTAATATGTGTGTAGGTCAAACCGGGAACATTCCAACGGGACGGAGGGAGTATTTAAGAACAGAGGTAGTATGAGCCCGTTTGGTGGCATTATATTTTAGCTTATCAGACTTATCGGTAACTTTTTCACCAAACACGTAACTTTTGATTTCATGCGCTGAATTGTGTAATAATAAGAAAAAGTAAGGTTGTAATTATTTTTTTGGCTGTATTGGCTGAAGTTGATGATCATTTTAGTTATTTTCATATAATTTTTCCTTTATTTTTTGAATAAAAATTATTTTAGATATAATTTTTTTTCAAAAAACAGCAGAATCAAGCAATGCATTCACTTCAGCCAGAACTTCATAAAGTTCAGCAGAATCAACCGATCCGGCCAATTTGAGTGCTATCAAATAGGCTCTATATTTTAGTTCTATATATCAATTCATAAAAGCGTTTACAGATTTACTTTTCTAATATGTACATCACCAAAAAATCTATAAATGTTATTCTATGCAACACAAAGGTGAACTACTAGTATGTATAAAAAGAAGATCAATTTATATTACTTGTGCATAAAAAAGTAATTATAGATAATGTTTTTAAAAATCCTTAATAGGCCTTTGAAGAAAAATCCCTTAATAGGAGTTAAGCAAAATAAATTCTCTCAAATAAGAGTACATTGCTTTGTTCCCAAAATAGGACTTATGCACTCCTATTCTTTGTTCCCAAAATAGGACTTATGCACTCCTATTCTTGTTACTTCACTCATGCACTCCTATTTTGGTAATTTATCTTTTTATTCTTTTAATAGGATAAATAATAAAAATGCTCACTAAACTAACAAGTATCACAATCGCTTTTGAAAATGCCAATGAAATACATTAGCGGCTAAAGGATCAAATAGGCCCTCAAACTAACTTAAAAAATGCAAATCATCCCTTATATTGGAGGCTATGTCCGGCCGTCGCCATTTGGGGCGATTCTAGGTGTAATTTTTTGATGAATTTTTTGAACATCTTCTTTATTAAGTCTAGTTTACCCATATCAAATTTCAGATAAAAATTCAACCGGGAAGATAGTCAAATGATTTTTCTGAAATGTACTGCGTTGTTTAACTTCACAGTTATCTTCATAAATTCATTTGACTGCATTCCCGATTGAATTTTTAGCTGAAATTTGGTATGCGTAAACTAGACTTAATGAAAAAGATGCTCAAAAAAATTCATCAAAAAATTCTACCGAGAACCGCCCCAAATGACGACGGCCGGACAGAGCCTCCAATATAAGGAGTGATTTGCACTTTTTAAGTTAGTTCGAGGGCCTATTTGATCCTTTAGCCTACATTAGCAAACCCTTGCACAACTTTGAAATTATCACATCACATAGTCGAACCATAAATAAAAATTAATCTTTTCTTGAAGTAGATGGATTACAAGAAATAGAAACGGACATTCCTCAGGACAGTAACAATGAGTGAGGATTTTTCTGATTCAATTTTTAAAGCTGCACAGATGAAAATAAGCCTGTAATCCGCCCTTGCTTCAGCGTATGGCCATCACTTTTTTTATTCAACAGGAAAATTAAATATAAATACTACAAAACAAAACACATAGTATTCAAAATCATTTTAAGAAAATGGTATCAAAGGTGGCAGGTAACATTCGAAATGAGGTAAACAACACAAAAGAAAAACCAAGCACATAAACCTATGCTTCTAGATTCATTTAAGAAATGTTCATTCCTCATCTTATTCGCAGTTGCCTTCTGGTTCTTTCTGTTCTCTCTTCCTGGACAACCACCACCAAAGGGACTAGACAGTGAGAAACCAATGTGTTTCTATGAGTCCACCCTGACCATAAAGGATGGAACATTGACCACCTGCCTTCCAACTCAGATGTGCTTCTGCCTAATGACAACTCTTGTATGATGGATTGACTTGGCCATGGCAGCCTTGAAAACCAAAGTCTGTAGACGGTGCTCAAGGAAATTCTCAACTGTGAGGGAAAGCACATAATGAAGCTTGTTTTGGCTCTCATCCAACAAACCATACTGATTCATCCTCTTTAGAAGTGCATCACCCTGAAAAATATGCTTTGGGTCCTTCTCATCAAGGGTAAGAAGCTTCCGTGCATTATTCCTGATACGGCTCAATTTTCAAAGCATACTGGACTCTCCACAGCTCCCGCTTGCACCTGAGACCATACTCACCCACAAGCTTCAACTCAGAATCCAAACGCTCCTTCTCATATGGGTGACGTGGCTTTTTGAATGTCTTTCCATGGTTCCGGCAGTAGGAAACGTGCACCATCTTAGGCTACGGGAGGTGATGTCCTCAATTAGGCGATGGGCCAATGGTTGTGTAAAGAGGGAATCAAACCACTCTTGTACTGCCTTTAATTTTATTGATTATAAAATCTCCAAAACCAGCACCTATATCCACTATTCTTGAGTCCGGCTTTATCTCTACCTTACTAATTTCTTTTAATAAATCTCCCAAACCTAGAGGATCCTCCTCACAAATCTGACCTATGATTCCATCCCACGTATCAATATGCAGAGTGTTTCGGTGTTTCAACAACACCTCCACCGCCTCGCATGCTTCTTCAATCTTACCAAGGCTAACAAATCCCATTACCAATGTATGCACCACTGAAAAGTGCAGAAGAAATCCTTTTGAAACCATCTCCTCTACATAAACTTTAGCCTCATCGTACATTCCTTGATTACATAACCCTTGAACCAAGATTCTATAAGACACCAAATTGGGTAGGCATCCATTTGCAGCCATTTGCTCGAGTACCTTGCAAGCATCAAGGGCACGATCTTGTCGACAGAACCCCAAAATGACAGTGTTATAATGAACCAGGTCGGGGTTGCAGCCTCTCACCTTCATTCTGCAGAGTAACTTGAAAGCCTCTCTGAGCTGTTTCTTTCGACACAAACTGTTCAACAAGGTGGTGTAAATAAAAGCATCGGGACTGAACCCTTTGTTGAGCATATCCTCCAGCAAAGCAACGGCTTTGTTCACTTGGCTCTTCCTGCATAACCCTTGGATCAGGATTCGGTATGACTCTACGTCAGGCAAAACGTCCCTCGTGAGCATTTTACCGAACAGTGAGTAGGCAATGCTTAAATCGTTATTTAAGCAAAAGGCTCTCATGAGGATGTTATAAGATGTCGTGTTGGGCAAGACCCCATACTGGTGAGCAGATTTAAAGAGGTCAAATGCGGGACGAATAAAACGAGGGTGGGCAACGAGGATGTGGAGGATTTGGTTTAGGTGTTGCGGACGAGGTTTCAAGTTGAACTCCAAGATCGTGTAAAAGGTTTTGAGGGCGATTTCGGGAAGTCCGGCAGCATTTCGAGAAGGGCCGAGTTTGATGATGAGGGAGTGGAATGAAGCATAAGAGCGGTGGAAGTCATCAGGGTGGCGTGATGCCAATTCACAGATTTCTTTGGCGAGCAGCAGGGGGTCCGACTGTGATGCAATCAGTTTATGGATTCGAGCCGCTGGCCCGACGGAGAGCTTCTCTTGACGATTAGGGGAGGAGGAGGAGGAGGTTGAAGAGGACAGGGCGGCGCGTGGTGCTGATCCAGTAAGACTGGTGACACGTAAGAGACGAACTGGGTGCATCTCACCTCCACTTCCTTCCTTTCACCCAATTCATTTCTTATAACCAAAGATCGGGAAAAACCTGCCATGCCAGAGCAAATTTGAATTGTCAAGCTCATTAATAAAATATACTCCGTAAAATACGTAGTAAATAGAGATAAAAAGGGTGGAATAGGTTGAAGTATGAGTTTTTTCTCAAAAGAGTGTTCTAGTAAATTTATTTCCCAAACAAGAATATTTTTGCCTGTCATTGATATACTCCCTCAGGAAAATTGTTCCCGCATTGACTTGGAACGGAGTTTAAGAAAGTGGGAATAAAGTGGAAATGTATGGTTATGGTTGAGTAAGAAAAAGGTAAATGAATTGTAGCCACAAAAAACTTTCCAAAAGGGGAAAGGGGAACAATTTTTTGAGACGGCCCAAAAAGGAAACAGAGAACAATTTTCAGGGACAGATGGAGTATTTATATATAAAGATAGTATAGAGATAAAGCTTTATTCCATCATATTCCCAACCCAAAAAAATCAGATTAACTCAACTATGTAAATTTGTTTACAATAACAACAACATTACCCCAGTGCCCCAAAGGCTCCCACCAACGACGGAGTAAGGGGTCGGATGTACGCAGCCTTATCCCTATACTAAAGTGAGACTATTTCCGGAAATTAGTTATTAGAGACATTCAAATGATTGGTAAGTGAAACTGAAAAAATTACACTATTAGCTAACCTTTTGCCTTGGTGTAAAAAGTGAGAAGAAATTGAGCAAGCAACAAAGAAAATGTGATCGGCCTCCAATTTTTTTTTACCAAAAAACACAACACAAGTGAACATAATAGCACTACTTTCACGATTATGTACACAACATAATCGAAAAATGGTAGATATCGAGGACATGCACACAAAATCAGCGGTAATAGAAACATAGTACTATGTCGTTGATAAAATGTTAAAAAAAAAAATTGAAAATCGAGGACGGTGATGAAAGGGGTATACCCAAATTGCGAGAGGATTGTAGACATGGTTTGACATCCTTCGATATTCCCTCAGCCATCGTATAAGTTCCAACGGACGGATAAGGTGGCATCGCACAACAAATACCGCTGATTTCACGAGTTAACAATAAATATGGACGGATTAAAGCCTAAAATTGACGATTTCATGGACAGAAAAACAAGGTTTGAAAGAAATCAGATGAAAACCGACGAAGATCAACACTCAACAGAATGACAGCATGAGCGATCATTGGATGAACCAATGATCTTCTATATGTGTTGTATGGCAAGTGAAGTACAACACATCTACTGAGAAAATGTGAACAGTAAGTAATAAAAATTTAATTAAGTTAACATTAATGAAGAGGTAGAGAACTAGGGAAGTGGAGATAATCGTCAAAAAAATGCATTTACTGAGCTTACACAGATAACCAACTATTAAGTTCATTCCTGAACTAAATAAAAGTCTACGCATTTGTTTACTTTCTGTTTTTAATAGTCTGTGAACTTTAACTTATTATATCATTCGGTATTAGTACAATAAAATTGAATTAACGTAACTGAGGTAAATAATTCAAGAGCTGACAGAATAATACTCCCTCCATCTCTTAAAACTTTACCAACTTTTCTTTATTGGATGTCCCATTAACTTTGTCACTTTCACTTTTAAGTAAAGAATTTGTGATTCCAGAAAATTCTCTCTCCTTTGCACAAACATCAACCACACATTTTTTACTTTATTAATCTCCGTGCCGGACAAACTTGGCAAAGTTTTAAGGGACGGAGGGAGTAAGATTTAGTGATGAAGGCTAAGGCAAGAGGCCATTAAATATTAGTGTTATCGTTTATTTTACACTTCACTTCAATGAAAATGATATCTAGGTTTCTACTTATCTACTAAAATCAGAGCCTAGAGGGAGAGATATTACAAATTCAATAACTAGCAGTTTATTTGTAATTTGTATCACATGTTTAGTACTTCTGAAACAAAATTTTCTTGACAAAAATAATACCAAAATCCCATAAAAAATCAAATAAACAAACATTATGCCTTCTTCAATAATCATACACGAAAACAGATTCGATTAAAGTGAGAATAATGAGCTTTGACATAAAAAGTACGGTGGAAGTAAAAGTAAAACACATACCTTCAAAATTAGCGGGCATGAGTCGCACGGCCGCTTAACAGCGCAAGTCTGGTGGCCAGGGCTTTCTGTAACTACAAATATTTTGATATTAGAGGGAAAATTTGGACCATGATTTTAATTAGTACTAGAGATATTACTCGAAATAGGACTAAAAAGGTTTGAAAATTCCAAAATAGGACTTCCATGTTTTTATTCCCAAAATAGGACTAATTACTGTCATGTTTTGGCAGTACCAGACTTCAAACATGGCAGTATTTTCCACATTTGGCAGTAATTAGTCCTATTTTGGGAATAAAAAATGGCAGTCCTATTTTGGAATTTTCAAACTTTTTTAGTCCTATTTCGGGAACTTTCCCTTAGTACTAGTATAATATTATAGAAAATATAAATTTTATACTTTTATGGAAGTAGTTTTAACCAAGAGCTTCATATCATTTTTTTATAATAAATAATTTCCAATAAAATAAAAATATATAGTTGGTCAAAGTTGTAAAGATGACTAAGTACATATGAGTAAATAAGAACATCTACTTTGAAATGAGTAAATGTGATCTTTATCTTTATATTTATATACCTAAAAGCACTACATATGAGTCAAAAAGTTTTTCTCGCCCATTGTATCACCTAATTATTAGAACGGCTGGGCTAATAGGTAATTTTGCCTCCTGCCCAAAAACACACGCCTTGGTCCAGAGAAGAGAGCTGGATCCTTCTGTAGGCGACACCAACCCAAAAAACACAAGCTTTAGCGACACCAGCCCACGGTCCAATCGTGGATTGATGACGATTTTGTTACGTGACAAAACCCCGCTATACCCCATTACAGTTAATAGAGAAGGACCTCATTACCAATTTTATTTGGTGATATTCTTTTATACTTTTTGGAAGGTTGCAACTTCTTTACTCTTGGTCTGTTTGGATCACTAGATCAGTGTTCTCCTCTCAAAGTGGAGGCCGCAGATTTGGGTCTCATTACAATCAAAGATGCTGAGACTATTATTGAACATATACTATAATAGGTTAGAAGAGTTTCCCAAAAATGAAAAAAATGGTTTCTTATTATATATTGTAATTGTTCTTCTCGAATTTGTGAAAATCACACCTTAAAGGCTTTGTGAAAATCACACCTTAAAGGCTTTAAGTCTAACCAATTCATGAGTCTCTATGTTGAGTTTCAAGTCTGATTATTAAATAGTTCTAGCCTTCTAGGAGTCCATATCATTTATTTGAAATAATTCAAAGGTTTCTTAATGCTCTTAAACTTTACGGTGATGGTTTACTAATGCTCTTAATTTATGTTCTGGATCCAGGGATGGATGGGCTATATTTGCTACAACTAGATGACTAATATAATTAACTCCTGAACGGGCAAATGTTGGTCTAAAATTTTATTTTGAATGGCTTGTATTTATTTAATACTGCTGGAATTGAACCAAAATCTTAGGTAAAAAAATGTAAAACAAATATTCTTTTAGTTAAATAAATAATTCTATATTCTAAACCTTAAATGTATTTCTAGTATTGAGGATCTTTTAGTAATAGATGGTGCTAATGGCATGTATTATATACTCCGTACTTCTTAGAGTTTCAACCTAAAGTCCTAAAAAGGTTTCAACAAAGGTTTTTTTTTTTCCTAAAAATGTTTCAACGAATCCAGAAATTGAAGCAGTCTAATTGACACGCTTTTGTTCAACCGCAATTGTCTTTTTAGGATTGAGGATTTTTTATTATCTTCCTAGGAAGAAAAGTAATAGATGCTGCTATTGGCATGAACTAACAAAAGAACCAATAATAGTTCACCTGAAAAAGAAGTAATAGTTAATTGTTTAACCTGCCAAGGTAAAAAAAATAGAAGTAATAGTTAGTTCAACCTTAGGGGTCAAATGCATAAATGACACCTTAACTATTGGTAATGTTGCATTTTGGTACTTTAACTCTTAAATGAATCAAAACGGTACCTTAACTATACATAAATGTTTCAAATTGAGATTTTATTCAAAATTTTAAGAACAAAGTCCTTCATGACGATCAAAATTTTATGTGTAGAGTCACCCTATAGTGATCATATGGACAAAAATAAGGTAAAGTAGACTTTACGCATATAATTTTGACCACCACGTGGAATTTTTTGGTCGGAAATTTGAATAAAATCTCAATTTGAAACATTTATGTATAGTTAAGGTACCGTTTTGATTCATTTAAGAGTTAAGATACCAAAATGCAACATTATCAATAGTTGAGGTACCGTTTGTGCATTTAACCATCAACCTTAGTTTTTCTCCTAGGACCAAGGATCTTTAATTAGCAGTGCTTCTGTAATTCCAAAGATTAGGCTTATGTGTTATTTCATTGCAATCTTAGTCTAAGAAATTTTTGATCCCGGATTCATTCATAGTTCTTAAACCGTCTATGATTTAAAGGTTTCTTAATGTTCTTAATCTTTACACAGATGGTGTGGGGTTCATATGTAAACTTTTAAACCTTCTATGTAACCATATCCAATGCTATAATTCACAGGGCCGGTCCTGGTATAGGGGCAGCCTGGGCTACTGCCCAGGGCCCACCAGGAAGAGGGGCCCCTAATTTATATAGTACTACCTCCGTCCCATTATTTATATTGTCCCGAAAGAGGGTGACATAGTTATTAAGAAAAGTGGGTTTGTGTGGTTGATATTAATTGATAAAGTAAGAATAAAGTAAGAATGATTTAGAGTCACACAAACTTTGTCAGATATGGTATGTGACAATTTAAGGGGGACTTCCCGAAAAGGTAAACAGGAAATATAAATGGGACGGAGGGAGTATTAGTTTATACACACACACACATATATATTAAATTAAATATTAATATATAATACTAAATTACTAATTATACTGTAATTACTAGTACACCGTAGATTGAGCGGAGCGGCATAAGAAAACAGAAGCCGAGAAGCCACACGATTTCCCAATATGGAATCAGTTCCGCTTCCTTGG